TTGGAAAACCAGAAAGAGGCAGAGCAGGGAGGGAGGGAGGGAGAGAGGGACGAAGGGAGGGAGATTCAAAGAAAGGAAGGACCTAGAGAGAGGAATGAAAGGATAGAATGAGAGAGAGAGAGAGAGAGAGAGAGATTAAGCAAGATCTCAAGATCTCAGAGGGTCCTGATTCGATAAAGGCATAGCCAAGCCGGTGTACCTCCAAGCTCACCACCCTCCTCCCAGCCCAGGAGGATCCAGGCTGGATATGCCATTGACACCCGATATTAACCAACAGGAGAGACCAAAACTCTTCCGAACTCTTCTGCATGGCACTGTGTGGGTCTGGATGCTCCACTGTGCGGTGGCGAGAGTGAGACTCCACAGGCCAGACTGAATGCAGCATAGAGACCTTTTGTGTGAGTTGTGAGCTTGTGTGCCAGTGCAAAGGGAGATTTTTGTCATTCCACAGAGTGGCTTCCTAACACAGGACAAAACTCCACAAAGACAAGTGTAGGTTAGATTAGCATTCCATATTTCAGCACACATTGATACAGTTATGTTTCAGGCCTTTTCCATGGGACACTTGGGGTTTTTACCCAAGACAGCCTCTATAACGTTTAGTCATGTTGACTCATGCCCAAGGAAAGCTATCTCCCCCTTGGATATGGAAACAGAACAACACCCTCCCCCCAAGTCAGTTTCCATTGAGACCGAGCAGCTTCTTCCCCAAGAGAACGTTACTGGGTTAGAGTTTATACTGGGATTTTCCACACTCTGGACCCGGCTTGGAAGAGTTTTCGAAGGATATAGGTCTCCTGGTTTACTCAAGTTTTTCCAATGCTACACCTGCTGCTGCTGTGTCAGGGGCTCACCCTGAGGCTGTAGACCACCTGCACAGTGCCCCCGTGAGAAAAGATGAGGTACTGCAGCCATCTTCCATGGCAGTTCCTGGCCTGTGGGCTGAAACCCTGATGTGGCACTGTCTGTTTAAAGTTCCACCAGTTTTCTGACTGGCCATCTCTAAAACGGTTTAGGAGAGTAATGTCTACTTTGTAAACTTCTTGCTAGAATTAAGTGAGATCATGTATATTAACAGGATTTCATGAGGAGCTGGAGAGACAGATCAGCAGTTAAGAGTCCTTTCTGTTGTTGCCGGGGACCCAGGTTCAGTGCCCGGCATCCACATCAGGCAAGACTCAACCACTTGTAACTCCACTTCCAAGAGACCCAGCTACCTCTGGACGCCTCAGGCCCCTACAGTCACATGTTGCACATAAACCTGCACATATACACATAAGTAAAACATTTATAAAAGCATGTCTGGCAGCTGGGAAGACGGCTCAGTGGGTAAGGCACTGACTGTGCGTGGAGCCCTGAGTTCAGAGTCCTAGCAACCATGTAAAAAGCCAAGCATGGAGGCACATGTCTACACTTCAGTGCCGGGGCCAGAGACAGGCAGATCGTGGGGCTGGCTGGCCAGTCTAGCAAAACTGGAGAGCTCTAGGTTCAGTGAGAAACTCTGTCTCAGAAAAACACAGAAAACAAGAGGAAGATGATACCCAACATCTGCCTCTGACCTCTACACACAGTGGCAAAGGCTACTGTGTCTGTACACACACACACACACACACACACACACACACACACACACACACACGTCTTTCACCATGTTCTTACTGCCAGCTACTTACTAACTTCTCGCTTTTGCCTTTCTCTTCCCCACACTAATTGTTCCAAAGAAATAGTAAGCAAACAAAAATAAATAAATGCCCATGGCCATGGGGGGGGGGAAGGTTATGATGTTAGTAGCGTCTATGTTATTTTATCCAACCTCTAAGCCTTGTTCGAGTGGGTCTTGGGGCCCAGGAGTGGGGGGGGGCACTCACATGCCTTGAGACTGCTTTCCATGTCCTACACTTGAGATCGTGGACACTGTCCTACTTGTAACTCACAGTAATTGTTCACATGCTCTCCCAATTCTTGACTATGAGCAGCTTTGCGCTAAATCGAAGCCAGCACTTAACCCAAGGCCTTGCTGAATGTACAATGCTTAATAAATGGGAATCCTTGTATCATTTCTCCTCACTTACTATGTTGCCTGGAGCATTTTGTTGGTTCTAAAGGTATAGTTGTGGGAGTATCATCAGAGAGAAAAATGCCCAAGGAGGAGGAAAGATGCTTTCGAAAGATGGAGTTGATCTTTTGAAAGGATCTGAGAGCCTTCTTTTCTCATTGATTGGTCTCTGGGCTGACTTAGCAGACACAGTCGAGGCACTGTAGCCACTTAGTAATTCACACTGGGTGATTCCCACCCACGATCCTGCAACAGATATCCCAGGTCACCGGACACCTGACCTTTCAAACATTAAGCTTGAGGCCGGGAGTGGAGGCACACACCTTTAATCCCAGCACTCAGGAGGCTCTGACAGGTGGGTGTCTGTGAATTCAAGGTCAATCTGGTCTACACAGTGTGTTCCAGGCCAGCCAGGGCTACATAGTGGGACACACACCCCTTTTTTAAATCAAGCATGCAAGGGCACCTGGAAATGGTAGTTGTCAGCATTGGTGATGCCTAGGAGAGAGACACTCCACAGAAACCTGTGGAGTGAGCAGATGAATGGACCCTCAGGTCCCAATCCCTGCTGCGGAGGAAGTGACCCTGGTCAGAACCTGGTCAGACCTCCCTCAGAGTGGAAAAGAAAAACAGCTGTCCCCTTCTCCCAGCTGTGTGGACGAGCTGAGGGCTCTGCTTGAACATCATTCCATGGCAACTGTGGGCCAAAGTGCCTCACCTCCCTAGTCTTCAAAGGTCACCCACGAGATAATCTCCTGGGCCCAACTTATAAAGGAAAACATTGAGGCTCAGACTCAAGACTGAGCAAGACCCAGGAACCCAAGTAGGTGAAGATGTGAAGGATCTTCTCTTCCCTTTTTATCTCCAGAGGGACTTCAGGCATGATAGGGTCTAGGGAAGAAATGCAATCATCTCAGAGCCCCCTGAGAATTCTGGGAAAGTGGCCAAGAGAGGCAAGGTTTGCTGAATCTGGGAAGTGTGGACCAAGCCAAAATGTGGCATAAAATTATATACTGATTGTAGCCACAAAGTCCACCCTCACTGTTCTCTTCTGTTTCTTAACACCCCCCCCACTCTCTCTCACACACATACACACAGAGTGATAACACTTAGACAAATTTCCCCAACACAGATTTTTGCTGACGTTAACTCTCCTCCATTCCCAAACTCCTCAACAATCCCTCAGGTCCACAGGATAAACTCAGTTCCACGACTGAACGGGCGTGGGTGGGTATTTATCCTCTTATCTGCTCAAGAGAACCCTGAGGGTACCCCTAGATCTTTCTTGAAAATCACCCTGGCCGTGGCTGAGATGACTCCAGCCCCCTTGGAAGGGGGGACCCTGGTGTTCGCTACTATTGGCACTGTGCTCAGAAAGCAAGTCCTTTCATGGAGTCAGCTGTCCCCCAGGCATCCGGGGACACTGGTCACACAGAGGCAAGAAAATGCGACAAGTGTTGCAAAGAGCCAGCAGCAGACCATGGGAGCGGCTGAGTTCTCCAGAGCAGACACTTGTCCACAGTTGAAGCAGCCCATTATCCAGTTACACAAAACACCCACCAGCTCCATGGCACCATTTGTAGCAAATTCAAGACAGACTGCCACATTGGCTTGACACCGACTTCAGAATCCATGAGCAACTTCATTAACCACCCAAACGCCCATGCACTGCATGGAAAAGGGAAGAAAAGAGCAAGCAGCCCCCCCTAAGTTCAAGGACCAACTCCAAAGACAGCCTCAGAGGCCAATCATAATATTTCACCGTGACCCACGCACAGCGCTCTGCTTCTGGGCATAGCCTTTCAGATTAGAATAGTTTGAGAAACGGGGTCTCTGAGCTACTGAGCCTACATTAGGCCTGCCTGCATTTTCCCTATGAAGACTCCATCCAAAGGCATTTGAAAACACTTTCATCCATACATCGCTTCCAAACCATTACACAGTATTTCTCCAACAAATTTATGTGTTTCCAGGGAACTCCTGGAGTACAGGGGAAAAAGTACTTAGGTGAAAGAATGTCTGGAGGTTCTTTCATGCCAGCATTCTAGCAGACCTCCTTTAATTTGCTATTATTTCATAGAGCGCCAGTAACCATTCCCTCATCTGCAAAGGAAATATATAATCCAGCTGTGGTGGCTCCAGTGAAAACCACATCTGTGGAACACTGGCAGAGCTGGCGAGGCCTCTCCAATCCAGGCAGTGGGAGACAGCTCTTGTCTGAACCCGGGATGCACATGGTATGGTGCTCTGAAAGTGCAGAACTTTGCCAAAGCCGGATGCTCCTTTGTATGCTGAACCAATGGTTTTCAGATAATCCACACCCATGAGAATGAGACACTCCTGAAATATCACTCCCAAGCCCCAGCTGTAAGAAGCCCCTGCCCTCTCGAGGGTGGTGGCCAGTGCCAGAGTCCTTGCTAATGTCAAACAGGGGAAGGAAACCCTTCACTCCTGGTTTCTGGGGGAGGTTGTACCAGGCAGTTGGCTGGCTGGGTAGCTGGCAAGGCAGAGGAAGATAGCCACTGTGGGGGTCATCATTCTCTCCCTTCTCTAGCCAATGTACTTCAGGGCACTGGGTGATAATATTCCAGGAGTCCCCCGCAACACACACACACACACACACACACACACACACACACACACACACACACACACACACACACACACCCCCCCCTCTCTGTTTAGTCTATCCCTGAAGCGCGGCAGCAAGCATCTTATTTCTAAGCCAATTTTCCATGTTCAAATCTTCCTAGTCTCAAGTGCGCCCCAGGGGTTTAGTCTACAGACATATAAAGGCAAAAGGCAGCGTCGCCAAACCTGGACAGACTTTCACCCCAGCACAGGGCCTGCGGCTACCAGGCTGGCATGTTGCTGGCCTTGAGCCCACTGGTCCCCGTCCACCCCAGACAATAGAGCAAGAAAATGAAATGAAAAGTGGACTTACTGCTATGGCTTGCAGCCTCTCCTTGTGCAATTCCGCCTCTGCCATCCTGGAGAAGGGCACACGGGCAGGGGAAGAAGGAAGAAAAACAAAACACACGCTGTAGTCACTCAAGGATATGGAAGGGCACTCGTGAGGGGCTCAACGACCCCGGGGACAGCCGAGGGGCGTGTGGGGTCCGCTCCTGGGGGGCGGGCAAAGCTGTGCGCAAGGCTGGCTCAGAGCTCAGCCCGGGTCTCCGCCGGCACCGCCGCCTGGCTGCGCCCCAGCGCGCCGCCGCGAATTGCAAGATCCCGGGCTCGACCGCCACCGCTACCACCGGCCGCGCCAGCCGGGGACGTGGGCCGCCGGCAGCCTCCCGGAGAGCGCGCTCGGCCGCGCTAGGTCCCCGCCCTGACGTCTCCGCGCCTCGCTCCGCCCCTGGGGTGTGGGGGACTCGTGGCCGCCGCTGTCGCTCGCGAGTGGGGCACCTGGAGCGCCGGTGATAAGCGAGCTGGGGGGCTGGGGGTGGGGGGCGCACAGCTGGTGCGCCCCGGTGGCCAAGCGCGTTGCGCTCGGGGTCTAGACAAGACCAGGCGGCGCCTCTCCTCTGAGCAGAGATGCCAGCAGAAGGGGCCTTTGGCAGAATGCGGGCCCCAGCACGTGTCCTTACATGCCGACTGCGGCCACCCAGTATCCCCAGCGCCTTCTAGCTGGCTCCAGATGCTTGGGCTCCACGTGGGGACATTTCCAACAAATAAATGCTGTCTTGTTCATGGGCTTCGGACGGCGGGGCCCTTGAGGGCACGGTTTATCACCAGTTAGGCCACCCTTCTAGTGACACACCAACTGTAGACAGCTCTGAGTTTGAAGCCCTGGGTGCCTTCCTGGACAACTAAGTCACTCGGAACCTCCGTTTCCTTATCTAAAAAAAAAGTGAAGGATTGCGAATGACTTCACAGAGACATCCTTAAAAATGAATGTGATAGGGGCCTGAGGAGATGGCTCAGTGGGCAGAGCACTTAAGGGTGAGGACCTGAGTTCATATTCCCGGCACCCACGTACAGGTCACGTGGTCATGGGCACACCTGCAGCACGAGGGAAGCCTAAGAGCGGCAGCTCAGGCACTGAACACTGACTTCTCTAATGACAGGGATGCGATGACAGTCTGATGCGCAGGCGCCAATGATAAGCACGCTAAGAAGAAATGGCTCTTTTCCATTTAGCCATGTATTGTAAAAGATGCCCAAAAGGAGTGATTGGTGACGGCGGCTAAGGATGTAGCTCAATTGTAGAGGCTTGCCTAGCCTGTACTGAGATAGTTCTCGGCTGGATTCTTGGGAATGAGGGGGAGGAACGATGGCGCCAAAGAAGGCGAATGTACTGAAAGTCACCAAAATGTATGTGTAAAAATGGTTAAAACAGCAGATTCTATTCTGTGTACATTTAACAGCAATTCATTTTCATAAAAAGGGGAGGGAAAGGGAGATGAGGGAGGAACAGGGCCTAGGCAACCCTTCAGAAGTCATCATTTGTAAAGATTCGAATTTTAAAGCGGAAAAATTAGGGTTGGGCCACAGTGCTCAGCACACTGACTGACCATGCTAGTCACAGCCGACCAGCTGAGAGGGCCGGGATGGGAAATCTAACTAGGCAGAAAGTAAGGACACAGATGAAGTAGAAGATCTGAAGAGAAGAAGGGGAAAAAAATGGAAGATTTACACCAAAAGCCACCACAGGAGGACAGGAAGTTGCATCAGGGTCACGTGCTTCTGTGAGGTTCAGGAGAAAGTAGGCTAAAGAGAAGCTGTAGGGCTTCACGAGTGAGGAGTCTGGGTGACTCCGGAGAGCAGTTATGCAGAGGGCAAGGCAGGAATTGCCTAGGAGGGGGACAAGAGACTGTAAGAGGTGGAAAACATCCTGAGTACAACGACGTTTTCCAGGTCTTAGGAAGTGCAGAAGGAACAGGAAGGGAGTCAATGGAGACAGGGCTTTTAGATCAAAAAGATCTGAGGACTTAGGGATCGAAGGGAATATTAGACAGGAGAGACGCCGGAGCCCAGGGAAATTCACATTAGGCAGAGTGGCCTCAGGCTGGACCAGAGGGCGTTTTTGTTAGCAGCCCTCACCAGTTCCCCCCTGGAAAGAGGGAGGAGGAATGCAGCAGGGGATGAGCGGGAAAATGGGGAAAGACAGGAAGGAAGTTTGAGTTAGAAAAAAGCTGGGGAAGTTCACCTTAGTTGGCCTGACTTCCCCTGCAGAAGGAAGTGGTTGAGACTCATGGGTTGGAGGGAAAACTTGCAATGCTTTATAAAGGAGCCGTGGGAATTGGGGGGACACTAAAACATGGACCCTGGGGCTGGATGGATCGGTGGTTAGGAGCCCTGGTAGCTTTACCAGAGGGTCCAGGTCCAATTCCCAGGACCTACAAGGCAGCTCACAGTTGTCCATGAGTCCAGTCACAGTGAATCTGATGCCCTCTTCTGGCCTCTGTAAGCACTGCACACATGTGGTGCCCAGACATACATAAAATAATTTTTAAAAATTGGATCCTAGGCAGACATCTGCATTAGAATTTTATGAACACATGCACAGAATTAAATTCCTATATGGTAAAATGGGAATTACAGATGGACTTAGGATCATTTTATTAATGGAATTCACAGGACCAAAGACTTAATTGTGCAGATTTCCTCCGTGGTTTTTAAGCACCTGAGGCCCCCTCAGCCATGATTATGCTTGCCCAGAACTGAGGACTGTCAAAGCAGGTATGGCAAAATGTCAAAGAGGAGAGGGAATTTAGGATGCCTGACATTGGGTTTAGCCCAGTTAGGAAGTGTAGGAGACACAGATTATTTTTAGTTGCCCAACTGGTGAACCCTTTTCCATCTTTGGGGGTCTCCCACATTTAAACCATATGAGAAGCAGAGCCATATACCATCACAGGAATGGGGAAATGCCAGACACCTGCTTCCCCAGATCTCCCGGAAGCTATGCATGGCTTGCAATCTGGGCTTAGCCAAACACGTGCACCTGCCAAGAAGTTTGAAGACAGCATTTTTGAGAATTTTTTTTCAGGCTGGTAGCTCATCTTAGGTCTTGCCCATGAGCCAAGCCTCTTCTATAGAGTTCTTAACTGTTCTGCAAGCTACCAAAGGCAATGCAAGCGCCTTCCCTCTCTCCCTTTGTCAACCCGAATTCATTTCAGTTGTTTGTAACTAAGGACCCCTGGTGAAACAGGAAGACGTATGAGATGGATGGCTGAGGTTCGGCCAGGCAGCAGACGGAGACTATTTTCTCTTCCAACACTGTTCCCTTCCAATCTCAAGTCTAGCATTTAGAAACCATTGGACCTCTCATAAACACAGACATTTACAACCCAAATTGTGTCTATTTTTTTTTTAGACAGGGTCTCATGTGGCCCAGTCTAGCCTCACACTCACTATGTAGCTATGGATGGCCTTGAATCACTTATCCTTCTGCTTCTGTCTCTCTGCTGCTAGGATTACAGGCATACGCCACCATGACCGGTTTATGGGCCGTTAGGGATCCAACATAGGGCCGTGTGCAGGCTACACTCTACAAATTAAACTGTATCCCAATAATACATTTACTTTGTAGCTATTTGATTCCAGCTATCAAGTGATGGCCTGATATTACAAAGGTTTGACAGTCCAGTGCCACAGCTATATTGGCTACTATCTTCCTTCCAAACATTTAAAAGTTGGTATGACACCTTACAGTGGTGCATAATCTGTGTCACAAATCACTGGCTCTTGTTGGGACATTTAATTGTGCTGTGCAAGTACCATCCAGGTGGTGGGATGATTTCTTTGATAGATGCGACACTGTAAAGCACCATACAAACTGAATACAGAATGGTTGATGTGCAAAATAAATGTTTTGATGATAAAAATTTCTGGAATCTATTTTAGGACAGGAGTCCCTTGGGAACTGCAAATGAGCACAGACTATTTTCCCTGTGGGGAAGCAGGAGCTCAGCAAGCCAAAAGAGAAACGACTTTCCAAAGCCCATCCTTTAAGGAAAGTCAAAGTCTTGTTGAGGAGTCGGTATGAGTGTGAAATGTATAAGCAACCTGAAGCTTTCCTTACACAAAAGTGGCTTGGAAGGCATGCCAGCCTCTCCTGAAACATGGCTCTCTTTTGCATGAGATCATTGAAGAATATATGGTCATTTAAAGCATATGTGATAAGTGGGATCTAGAGGGAGAAAAAGGACAAGAAAGTAGGAGGGAAACTACAGGGGATGTGGAAGGGGAGGGGAAATGAGATCAGAAGAGATATAGCTTATGTGCAATGAAAGTATGTTATGGAAATGCATGGAAACATCATTATTGAGAGTCTCTGTATAGTTAGTATATATTACTTTTTTAAAAGTACATGATTGTTACATAGAATCCAAAGGAGGAAACAGTGTTTGGTGTCCCCTTGGCTCCTGTGGTTATCAGCACTTTGGAAAAGTTAATGGGCCTTCAAGAACATGCTGGTTTTCTCTGTGGATAAAAATGATAGAAACACATAGGGAGTCCCTATGGAGCAAGAAGATAGAGAAAGGTTAAGGTGCAGAATGCCAGAGTGAGATAAAGTAGGCCATAGCTACTTAAGTACAACTAGAAACCAAGGCTTCTACACAGCGGATTCGGTGGGAAATCTGGTTGGGCATGAACATTGGTATCCAGTATGATGGCTTCCTTTTCTCTTGGTTGGCTTTGACAATAGCACTTTCACTTGACTGATGTGAGTCACTGCAGAGAACAGGGTGGCATAAAGACAGTGGACAGGAATTCATGTTGGATATTTAAGAGTCATTTCATACATACCTCACTACAGTGTGTTTGGGGACAATATTGTACAATTTATTTATAAGTTGGCTCAGAATAGTCTTGAAAATAAAAGCTCTGGAAAGTGGAATTAGGAAGCAGGAGGTGGGCATGACATAGAATAAACATGAGTTGTAAAGACAAGTTGGAATCCTAAGGGTACTGTGAGAAATGGGGATAACAGCTCAAAGGTTTGGATGAGCCTCAGTGAGTGCTCCAGATGTGGTAG